GCTCGGTAGGTGAACCACTTGAAGTTGCAGACAGCTCCTCCACGCAGCTTCTCCGATGATGCGGATACTGCTGCAACCTGGACATGCCTGACCTCCATGTTGTGCGAAAAAGCATGTGGCAGCACTGTGTCAGTGGGAGGTAGAATCACCTCTTGTTGATCTGTTCCAAGCAGACGTGCTTGAGATTTTGGGCTCCGCTTTCGCACACTGTTCGCAGTTGCAACAACTCTGCCTTTCCCGCAACTTGAGGATCATTGAGCAAGAAGCCTTCCTCAAGTGTGCCTCTCTACAGGAGGTTTCCACTCCACCATCCCTGCTTTACATTGCGCGACGCGCTTTTGCAGGTTGCACGCAACTTCGAGCAATACGCAAGCAAGGAAAAAGTAAAACATGGCGAGGGACATATGCCCGACCCAATGCCTTTGACAAATGTGAGCAACTCGATCAGCCCAAATGGCTCCGATTTTTGCCGGCCGATACCAATGATTTATGGAGAGAAGACTTTCTAGAACCTGCACCAAAGGCCAGCAATGCTTTCGCGGCGGGAATGGTGCATAAGCACTCCGCCAGGAAGCTACGTCAAGTGAAATGTGCAAACAATGAGTAGAGTCGCCAACTTGTTTTCGACATTCACGATACAGTGAGCCAATAGGAATGAGAGCCTTAGCTCCTCGTTCCCAACAGGCGGGTGGTAGAGAGTGGCAATGGAGGATGCCCAGGATAAACCTTAGTTCCCTCTGTTGATGTCCGACATTACCAATTTTGTACAAAGAGGCACATATACCATGCTAGGATAGGTCCACGGTCTCACCTGTTTCACACGGGCCTTGCACGCAACAGGACAATGCTTTTGCAATGACGCAGCATTTCTCAAGGTTAGGGCACACCCCGTTCTGGCACCTTTGTGTGCCGAAGGGTGCAGAGATGACCTCCCTTTTTCCTGTCTGATTTCTCCGTGGAGAGGTACCCGAATTTGAAATGCACTCGAAGCAGGGCAAGCGGGGTGATGGTGTATGTTCGGTGCTTAGACAACAGGTCCAACTCTGCCTCGAGATGGTCGTAGCGAGCCCCGTATGCAACCATCTCGCAACCTGCAGGTAATGGTCATCCACCGAGCGCTTTGCAAAGGTTGTGCCGCGCGCTGCAGCAGGCTCATTTCAAAGGAGAAACATCCTTGCCCAGTGGCAGGGACATAGCTTTCTTCTTCTGCCGCTTCCTCCCGTCCGAGCCTCCGGGCTATTGATGCCATTGCTAATACCCATCGAGCTAGGTCCCTTATCTGTTGGGGACTCCCTGGCAAGACCGTAGTTAGGCACTGCCTGCTCATCGAGCGATGGGGCAGCTATTCCATCCTCGAGCTTGTGCCACAACGGAACTTCTACACAAAAGCTTGTTTGGTAAAAGGAGGCAAAGGAGACAATCTGTCCAAAACTCGCATCAAGCACGTGACTTTTGGAGGAAGTCCCTCGTACGAAACGCTCGCGTGACTTTTAGAGAACGTTTCGGGCCAGACGCTGGCGGTGTATGGGCAGACCGTGTGGCCAAATTACGTTCGTGATGTTGCAGTGCCATTGGGAGTTGCGCGGCCTTGGTGGGAAGTGTGTTTGCGCGGCGCCGCGCCCCTGGGGAATGCAAAACATGCTGGTGTAAACGCGGCGTGTCGCTGGCGAGCGGGATGATTGGTATCAAGAGTGTCCCATAATTAAAAGAGTGCCCCGCAAGAGCTTCCTACAAGCGTGGCCTAGAAGAGTGTCCTACAAGAGTGTCCCACAAAAATGTCCAACAAGAGTGTCCCACAAGGGTGTCCTACAGGAGTGTCTCACAAGAGTCTCCTACAAGATTGACCCACAAGAGTGTCCGGCAAGAGTGTCCCACACAAGAGTGTCCCATAAGAGTGACCCACAAGAGTGTCCTCCAAGAGTGTCCTACAAGAGTGTCCCGTAAGAGGCTCCCACAAGAGTGTCCTACAAGAGTGTCCCACAAGGGTGTCCTACAAGAGTGTCTCACAAGAGTCTCCTACAAGACTGACCCACAAGAGTGTCCGGCAAGAGTGTCCCATAAGAGTGACCCACAAGAGTGTCCCATAAGAGTGACCCACAAGAGTGTCCTCCAAGAGTGTCCTACAAGAGTGTCCCGTAAGAGGCTCCCACAAGAGTGTCCTACAAGAGTGTCCCACAAGAGCGTCCTTCCTACAAGAGTGTCCCACAAGAGTGTCCCAGAAGAGTGTTTCACAAGAGTGTCCCACAAGAGTGTCCTAAAAGAGCGCCCCCAGAGTTGCACAGTACGAAAAAGTTGAGCCCCAGATGTCAGTGATATCTGTGCACATCAGGTCCACTTCTATTAGCCGCTTGCAGTTCTCACACGCCATCGGACCGAGGAAGTTAAAGTCAGGTGGGAGGCGTAGACTCTCTATACCCGCTCCACAGAAGCTGCCGTCAGGGAGAGCCCGTGTCCTGTCACCCCGGGACATTACGAACTCAATTGTCGTTAGTGCTAGACAACTTTCGAAGGCGAACGGCCCAACTCTCCGACCAAAGTGGACACAACCTGGGGCTGCGATTTGACTGAGCGCATAGCATCCCTGAAAAGCCCCGTCTTAGAGGCAGACGACGCAGGGTGGCAGCTTAACAATCTGCGCCTGATGGCAGCTTTGCCATGCTGCCGATCCAATCTGGGTGATTCCTTGGGCTACCTCTACATGGCGAAGCATGGGCGCAGAGTAGAAGGCCCTATCCGGTACCTCCTTCCGAGCGTTGATTGGAACTCGGACTGCCTTGGGATATCCTTCCCTATTGCTATTTTGAAACTGCCAAACTGAGTGTCCTTCCTCAATGCAAGGTCTGACAATCCGCTTCGGAGCTTTGGCCTCCAGGTGTTAGCGCACTGGGAGGGAGCCCTTGGCTCTACCTCTACCAGTGGCCAGAGACACACCTGGCGCAGCCAGGGGCGCTCCCCTTTCCACACCACGTGCCGAGAGAAGCAAAGGAAGGAGTGGATCCACACACCGAGTGACGTGGGACCGAACCCATTCATTTTCACCAAGGAAGTACAGAGTAACCCGTACAACCCAGGTCGACGTGGAGACGGACCCATTCATTTCACCCAAGATGTTCCCCAATAGACCGGCTTAGTTTAAAAAATAGGATATATCTAAATTTACTAAATTTGACTAAATCGTATTTCGACAAAGTTGAATTTTTAAGCAATAGTTAAAATTATGTTTTAACTATTTTCTAAAAATTTAACTAAAATGAGTTTTAGAAGTTTAACTATTTTCTAAAATTTTAACTAAAACCTAAAAAATTAACTAAATCGTAAGAATTTAACTTTCGAAGTTTCGACCAAACTTCGAAGAAGTTTCGAACAAACTTCTTCGAAACTTCGAAGTGTGCACTTCGAAGTTTACTTGGAACTTCGAAGGGTGTACTTCGAAGTTTATTCGAAGTTTACTTGAAACTTCGAAGGGTGTACTTCGAAGTTTATTCGAAGTTTACTTGAAACTTCGAAGGTGTACTTCGAAGTTTGATCAATATTTCGACTGCTCTCAGTTATGCGTGTTTGTTCCAAACGAGCATTGCGAGACACATATGTTAAACAACCCTTGACACACATAAGTTGTGACAGTTCGTGCTTGGAGATTGACAGCGTATACTTTTCTTTCACTAGGTGTGATTGTTTGGAGACATTTTTGAACTTGTGCAAAACGCAGCCTGTGCAGGAGAGAAGTGGCAGTCATTGTTTTGAGAGAGGGGGAAATGAAAACAACCTTGTGAGAGAGAACCTTGTGAGAGTGAGGGACATTGAGAGAACCTTGAGAGAGGACCTACTGAGAGCAAGAATCCTGAGAGTCAGTTTTTCCTTGGTTATGTAGTTTGCACTGGTGAGATTGGGTATACAACCTCTGTGGTTCAAGTCTGGATGAAGTTCACATTCATTCATGTCATTCTTCAAGTCTTCAACGCATATACAGTATCGAAGAACACATATGTGATTTTCCTCTACGTCCTGCCCTGCGCCTCTTTACTCAAGCACATGCAGTTGCATGCATTTTGAAGGAGATCTTATACTCTATACAGTTAAAAATATAGTATTCAGTGAAGAACCTTGTGGTACTACATTGTGGTTACTGAGTTGTGTTTGCTGTTGACCCTTCAGTGGCCAAAATTGCCGAAGTCCAAAAGGCGCCATGTCACACGCGATGGACAGTGAGAGCTACAAGTTCAAACGAAGAACCAGGCCAAGGAGGAGACTTTAGCAGAGCACTGTGCTTTAGGACGGTAGCACTGTAGCTCTATGGTTTTTAGACTCCAGCCACCTTAGAGCCTGTGCGGCGTTGAAAAACTAATGAGTTGCACAGCAGCCTGCACCTCTACCATGAAGATGTGTGACACTTTGACACCCGTTTGTTTTGAGACAGTCTTGAGAAAAGCTTGAGAGACTCTTGTTAAATGGTTGAGAGAACCTTGAGAGACATTGAGGGAGTTTGTTGGTGTGATCTTACTCCTAGATGATTTGTTCATGAGTTTTTCAAATCTGGAAATGACTGATTCGAAGTTTGTTCGAAGTTTCGAACAAACTTCGAAGTGGACTACTTCGAAGTTTGTTCGAAGTTTGTTCGAAGTTTGTTCAATATTTTTTCGAAGTTTGATTCGAAGTTTATTTGATGTATATCAAAAACACTGTAATTACCAATGTTTTCAACTTATACATACTTATAAACTTCGAACAAACTTCGAAGCAAACTTCGAATGAAACTTCGAATGCTCGATTCGAAGTTTGTTCGAAATTTCGAACAAACTTCGAACCACTACTTTAGCAACGCTAAAACTTCATGTTGTGATCGGACAACAACCTTGATAATTTTTGTTGGAACCTGATGACCATCTTGAAACCTTTTGTTGGTGTCCTTGAACCTTTGTTGCTCCACAGCTTTCTTGGTTTGAGAGAGTGAACGAACGCTCCTGATCGACAGCTTTGTGTGTGTGTCTCAACCTTGGACCATGCCAGCCGCTTCCAAGCGCCCTGCGGCCAATGTGGATGACGCCGCACAGCCGAGGAAGAAGCCGGCAGCGATGCCGAGCGTGAATGAAACCCTGCGCAAGCTCAAGGGTGCCACGGCTTCTCCTGAGGAGGAGGACCATGACAGTGAAGCTGGCACCATGGTTTTGGCCAAGCGCGACAAAGGGAAAGGTGAAAAATTTGCTCGGATGCGTGCAGCTGGGCAGATCCCCCAGCATATACTCCACCTATACGACGAGACCGCGAAGTCGAGTCCTTCGCCCAGAGATTTTCGCACCAACGTCATCAACCAGTTGTTCAATAAGTCTGACAGTGGAGTCTTCTCGATGAACACTGGCGCCAAGCTCTTCACGGAGGCGTACAAAGTCTACCAACAGAAGCACGCCAGGGACGAACAAGAGGCGATGTCCCGCTCGGTCATGCTGGCTTGGCCTCTTTTTCAAAACAACATCCAGGCCAGTGAGAGAGAGTGAGAGAGAAAAAAAGAGGTAGAGAAAAGAAAGACTATAGAATAAAGACACACAAGGTTTCCTCTCACAAGGTTTCCTCTCACAAGGTTGTTTCACTCAAAGGTTTGTATGAATGAATGAATGATTGAATGAGCGAATGAATGAGTGAATGACTGACTGACTGAATGAATGAATGGATGAATGAGCGGATGCAGTGAACTCTCAAGGTTTCCTCTCTCAAGGAGGTTTAACTCAAAGGTTTGTACCAATGCACCGATGTGTGAATGCATAAATGAATGGTTGCTCGAATGAGTGCATGAATGAGACTAAGTGGATGACAGCATGAATGGATGTTTGCACATGGGCTCACAAAAGTTGCGCAAACATGGAGCTCACAAAGCTTTCAATTTCCGAACATATCGCTTCGAAGTTTCACCGGGGGCACTTCGAAGTTTGTTCGAAGTTTCCATATCTAAATTTACAGACAATAGTTAAATTTACAGGAAATAGTTAAATCTGTTTCAGCTAAATTTACAGAAAATAGTTAAATTTACAGAAAATAGTTAAATCATATTTTAGCTAAATTTTTATAAAATAGTTAAAAGTCATATTTAACTATTTTCTAAAATTTTAACTAAAACATAACTTAACTATTTTCTAGGAATTCTACGTTTTAGTTAAAATTTAGGAATTGTCTAAAAAGTATTTTTTTTAACTAAGCCGGTCTATTGGGTCACCACACCCAACCAAGGCAACCCACACGTGATGCCCCCATAGGTTCCCGGACCCCGTGGCCAAGCTAGCGTTGCGATCCAGCTGTTCTGGCATGGTGTAATGATGGGTGTTTTGCGCGCTTGGTATTTTTTGTTGGTCGGCTGTTTGTTGTTCGTCCGTTTGGGTGGGTGGAAGGGGTGGCGTTGCGTGGTCAGTTGGATATTTGGTGGGTTGCGCGCCGTAGCTTACGGTAAGCGACCTTGCGTTGGATAGGCGGTTGAGTTGGTTGGAATCATGCCCCAGAATGACTTGAGCACTTTTCTAGTCGAGCTTGCAAGTTTTTTGAGGTGGAGTGGGTGTTTTGGAAGTTGAACCCAAGGCAGAAGTAGTTTTCCAATGGTCGACGAGGCCGAACGGGGCCCCGGAACTTACTTTTAAAGGAGTCGCAATTGAAAGTGGATTGGTTGTTGCGTTTTTTCAAACCACAGGGCTTGAAGGTGGCCTGGTTAGAATTTTAGCCCGCAGCTGTTTCCAAGTCGCACGGTGAGCTGCAGCAGTTGCAGCAGTGAATTTGGCGGCCCCAAAAACGAGGTTGAAAAGCGTTGTGGAGCCCGGGGTCGCCAGAGTGGGCCTCCCCTGTACTAGGAGCAAGGACGCTACAGAAGGGGCTTGTGGCATCGCTACTGCAAACTCGAAGAGCACAGCTGCCGTCTCCCCCCCTTTGGGGGGGGGGATTTTGGCCTTGTCGGAATCGTGCACGCTCACAACTCACAACAACACTGCATGTTTTGGCTCCGCTGTCTCGTGCTTTCGATGATTTGAAGTCCTCGTCAGCTGACACAGTGGCTTTCCCTGAGCCTCATGTGTCTAGCAGTCCATTTCCGACAATTTTGTCTCGAGTTACGAACCTGGCCTTTGTTTTGGGGGTTTTGGTGTTTGGGTTTTGTGTGTTTTTTGTTTGTTCTGGTGCGGTGTTGCTTGGCTTCTTGGTTCGTAACTCTCTCTTCACTAGCTTAAGGTGACTTGTGCATCCTCTGCACACATAGCGCCTCGACCCGTGCAAAAAAAGCTACTGGGAGCAAGGACGCGGAATCGCTACTAGGAGCAAGGACGCCACTATAGGGGCTCCTGGCATCGCTACTAGGAGCAAGGACCCTACTATAGGGGCTCCTGGCATCGCTACTAGGAGCACGGACGCTACTATACAGGCTCCTGGCATCGCTACTAGGAGCAAGCTCTTCTACAAGTTCATGGTGGTGGAGAATGTGAAGGATGTAGATGAGGATTGGAACCTCATTGGCCAGAACCTCAAAGAGGTGGTTATGGAGAAGGAAAATGAGCCGTGGATTGGAACCACTTTGGCTAAGCGGATTGGTCCCGCTCAGGAAAGGCAGCTCATGGCCGAAGGTCATTGTGATGGGCTGGATGGACTTCGAGAACCTCTCCGCAGCTGGGGATTGGCTCCCAAGCTTGATGGGTGGTCGATGTCAATGTGGGCATCGACAGGTCGGAGATTGGCACTCGGACTTCATGAATGAAGATGGAGAGATGCAGGTCGTGGGCTTTGAAAGCTACTATATCGACTCCAAGAACCTCTTTCTCGATTTTATGAGCCAGATCCTTCCGGAGTATGATCTGTCCCAGGTCTTGAACAAGGTGAGATACAAGATTGGTTGGAGAGCATTGTACATCCTGGCTTTCATGGTCGGTGTTGGGGCTGATTTGATGGTGAGCCGAATGCACATGGGTAAACAACTTCATTCAAGACGTGAAGTGATGAAGGGCCACTTGGGCTATTACAAGAAGAAGAAGTGGAATGGAAGGCTACGTGGACGGTTTGAGACCAAGTTGCAACTTCGTGGACTCCTTTTCATGACTTTGTGGTGCAACACCTATGGCATGGATCAAGAACAGCTGAATCGCATCCTGTCCCAGGTGATGACCCTAGCAGATGCAGCTACCACGGCAGCCAGAGCTTCCTCATCGGTGATGGAGAAGATGGAAAACAGGCGTGATGGAGGTGGCTTCAGCGAAGCTTCAAAGATTCTACGTCCTCCTGAAAGTTTTGAGGTCGATGACCCTATGAGGTATGTGGCCTGGAAGGAGAGCTTCACAAATTGGCTGACGGCAACTACAAGTATGCAGAGCTTCTGAAAGATGTTGAGGCTTTGGATGAACCTTGCAAGCTGTCAGATTTTGCAAGTGAAGAAGTGAGAGAGATGGCAAAGAAGTTCTTTGCCATTTTGGCATCCTATATCAAGGGACCTGCTTCACAGCTGGTTCGAGCAGCCGCTGGTGAACAAAATGGATTTTTAGTCCGGCAACAACTTCGGGATTTGTCTGTTCCGAAGGCAAGACCACGGACGATGGCGGTAGGCCAAGCAATCATGAGCTATGCTTGAGAACCTCCTTCAATTGGACTTGCTCCTTGACCAGTACAGATTGGCATCTGGACACGAAATGCCAGAGGATTTAGTTGTGGCTACAGTGCTCAGGTGTGTCACTCCAAATGTGAGGCAGCATCTTGAACTCACGCTGGACGACAAGGTGGACTACCAAGCCCTCAAAGAGAAACTCATCCTCATGGACAAGAATAGCAAAGCATGGAGTGGTGACACCTACCTCAAGATGGTCCAGAACTCCATGGGTGTTGGTGGCAACAATGGACCGACTCCAATGGAAGTCGATCAAGTTGGTCAAGTGAAAGGAAAAGACAAAGGAGGAAAGAAAGGCAGCAAAGGCAAGAAGGGAAATTGGTTTCCTTTTGGCTTCAGTGGCGGCAAGTATGGTGGCAAGAGCTACAAAGGAAAAGGAAAGAAGGGAAGCAAAGGCAAGAAAGGCGGCAAGAAAGGCAAAGGCAAATATGGCGGTCGTGGCAAGGTCAAAGGTGGCATGATGAACAACAACACATGTCGTGTGTGTGGCCAACAGGGTCATTGGGGCAATGAATGTCCAAACAGAGCACAGGCAGTGACCCAGCAGACCTTGGCCGAGAGTGAGATTGCTAGCTCAGCAGGTGGCAAGAGATCAACTACGACTTCATCGGTGGCTTCGACGAATGTTCCCAAGACTGTCCGACAGGTGACCTTGTATCATGTGGCAACTCCAAGAGATGAAGAAGTCACACCCGCTCTCTATGAGATCCAGAGTGAAGGTGGCGAGAGCTGGATCTCTGATGATCACTACCAAGTGAATGTTGTCAGCTTCAGCATTGGACATGATTCTGAGACTGAGGAATCCTTTGACCACTTCATGGAGGGCAAGGCGCTACATCATGGAGAACACGGAGACAAAGCCAGAGATCCTGCATGTGGGCATGGTGAGAATGTCTCAGGAGAAAATGTTGATAGTCTTGGACTCCGGAGCAGATTGCAGCATCCTCCCAAAGGCCATGGCAAGCAAAGGTCGACCTCAGACTGGTCGCAAGGCGGTGTTGGAAGACGCCCAGGGCAGCCAATTGAGGACCTACGGAAGAAAGCTCGCACAAGTGGAGTGCGACTTGGGGCTCAAAGGTACAGTCATCATTGAGGACGACTTCATCGTGGCCTCCGTTCAGACGCCGTTGGTGAGTCTTGGGAGGCTTCTTCAGAAGGGCTGGCGGTTGACACCCGGACAGTGTGAAGCTGGGGTGAACCTCATTGCTCCAGACCAGAAATGCGAGATCCCGCTCTACTTCAAGAAGAATAGTCTAGCGCTCTATGGGTGAATCAACCGCATCAGCGAAGAGCCAGAGGAAGAGAGAGGAGAAGTCAATGTGGTCAAGACTCCTTCAGATGACGACGAGATGATGGTGATCATGACAGTGGTCAAGTTGAATGAACCTGTGATGGACTTCTACGGCCTGAATGCCTGGCGGACTTTGCCTGATGGCAATCCAGTGAAGTTCAAGTTCCACAGCAAGCAGTATGAGAATGCCCAATTGATGTGGAACATCCATTGGTGGCCTTTGAGGACGACCTTCAGTCGTCGGGATGATGGTGATTGGGAGCTGGTTGAACATTGCAGGCGGTACTACACCTTGCCGGATCCTGAGGCTGAGATTCCTGAATGCGCTGGAGAAGAGACTCAGGTGTTGACAATTCTTCAGCGCAAGCGTGAACCAGCGCAAAGCTTTGGAGTCATTGTTGGCGAACAGACAGCAATGCTTTTTGCTTTGAGCCAGAACCACAAGTTCCAGCTGAGCTTCAACCTCAGAACCAGGTGACAGAAGAAGAGGTGGACCAGCATGATTCTGGCGAAGCTT